CGGAGGGCGCGCCTCGGGCGCTGCGGGTGGGGCCCGGCCAGCGGTTTCCGCGGTGATTCCGAGGTCGGCTCGAGTGAGGACCACGCACTCGTGTTTTAGGGTTTTTGTTTGGTTCCTGGCGTGGTTGCTTTGTTTGTTTGTTTGTTTGTTTGTTTGTTTGTTTTGCCGTAGAGTCGTGCTGACCGGAATCAGTATTTGCCTTTTCATCAGTTGAATGTAGGCTGGGCAAAGTTTTCCCAGAACGGAAAGGAACGATCCAGGGACACCTTTTCTTACTAGTCGCGATGATACTCCAAATTCAGAGGCTGCCGATAATAGAAAATGTCACTGTTTTACTTTGTTTTTTAGAGTTATGACATTACTCTCCCTGGGTACAAAAGTAACAAACATAGCTCAGTTTCAGTTCTGCTGGAGCATCCCCAAAAGCCACAGCAATGAAAGCCCTAAGAACCCCTTGCATCTGAAATTATCTGTGGACCACAGTTGCAACTGGTTAGAAATATTAATATGATGGGCAAGCACCAAGAGGCCAGATACAAATGAAATAGTTCCGAAAGTTCAAATAAGACATTGTTTTTCCCCCCCTTTCCAAATTTTAAAGATTCATTACAGTCACTTTTGAACCCCAAAGACTTTTGCATCTGTTGCTATAATCTGAGAAAAATGCATTCGCCTGCAAGCGGAAAATACACCCCACGGTGGACTCTTAGAGAGTTCATCATTTCACTTCTCCATTATTACCCCGTCGTTCCATTTTGGGGAAGTTCAGATCTAAACTCAGAATTTCACAGATTAAATGAATGCTGAGCAGCTAGAGGGGGAATTTCATGCCGTGGAAATGTTTATATGGGACGCTGACGCCTGTTGACCCAAACTTTTTCAGTGTTTTATTGTAAAAAATTTCAAATGTACAGAACATTTGTAAAAATGTTACAGTGGTCGCCCATATTACTAAGTGTTGTTGAGTAGACCTTTGTGCACTGATGGTGTATGGTCTGTTCTCTTCATGGCAGTACCCACTGGACTACTGTGGTTATTGAGTATTAGAAATGTGTCCAGTGAGACCCAGAAACTGAGTTTTTAAATTTTTATTTAATCTTAATTAATTGAAATGGACAAAGCCACATGTGGTTGATTAGTGGGTGCCATATTGAACAGTGCAAACTTGGACTACCATTGAAGTTTTACTGTACTTGCTTTATCACATATCTGCTCATCTGTTCAGTTTTTTGTATCCACTCTGATCTAAATATAGGAAAACTTACTGAAATCAGAACTATTTTCCCTATTTCCCCTCAGTGACTCAGATTTACTGGATTATATGTTTTGTACATATGCAGTTGTCAGAAGTTGAGGTTACATAGGTTGTAAAAATAATCAAAATTTTTATAGTACATTCTTCAAATATTGAAATACTTGGGTCACCAAAGAGGGGCATCCAGAGGACACTTATTTTCTTATATGTGTTAGTATTTATTTCATATATTTCCTTCAGAGCTACTCTTTTATTTTACACCAGGTGTCTATTACCTTGGTCCTTAGGATGCCATTGTGTCCCTGAGGGGCATCTTGTGGGTAAAGAAATTAGAGGAAGAGTGGAAAATGGGTGAGGAGAAATTTCAGTTCTGCCATCCATTTTCTAAGTATATACCACACTGGCTGGTAAACCTGAACTTCCAGTTCAGTTAGGTTCCCAGGAAGAGTAACAAATATGACCTAGCTCAGAACTTCAGGTCAGGAGGCAGTGAGGGATTAGAGTGTCTTCTGAATTGAAATCATTCAGAAAGACCAAAAAAGATTGAACTTGTTTCTTTGGAAAATACACTATGCTAGTGTCTGTTAATTGTCTTTTACAAACCCCATATTTTACTAGGCAAGTAATATATGTCAGTGCAGTAAATTATTAACAGTATAGTGTATGTTCACTACTGAAAGACAGAAGCTATAAAATAGTTTCTTAGAACATCATCATTGGAGGGTTGTCTCGGAGAGGTAAGAGGAACAGTAGTCTACAGTTAAACTCTAGTTTGAAACAAGTTTTTGGCTGGAATTTGTATTGATTCTACCTTAATTCTAGATTAGGGTGGGTTAGGAGAAAGCCTAGGAAGCTTTTTTGCTAGTGATTCCTCAGAATCAGTTTGTGAAATGCATACCTACCCAATTTA